CTTTCAATAATGCCTGTATCCATCTATTATTTTTCTCTATATTTAAAGATAACTACTTACTGATTTTGTTTACTATAGATTCACCATATCTTATTCAAATAAAAGATCTTAATGGAAAGAGTGTTCTTTCTGGTCTAACAAATACACCATGTGGAATACAAAGTAAAAAACATTTTTTGTTTGTTTTTCTTTTCGACTTATTTTTTTTTTTTTGTTGGAAAATTTAAGTTCGTACTAATTCAATATCTAATTCACAAATTCGAGCAGTTGTTCTTCTCGATACTGTTCAAATTCCATCAACAATGACAATTATTAATGATAATCTTATTCGTATAAATTTTATTCCACAAGAACCTGGTATTTATTTTATTAATATATTTAATGGAGATCAAGCTATTCAAGGTATGAAAATTATTTACTTTAAAATAAATATCTTATTTAATATTTTTTGTTTTAGGATCTCCATTTCCAGTACATATTAATCGACAACAAGTCGTTCATATTTCTGGTGAATGTTGTCATTGTTTACGTTTAAATAATCTTGGTATATTTCGTATTCATTGTCATGGACAACGAGGATTAATTGAAGCAAAAATATTTAGTATGAAATATTGTTTCTTAGAATGACAAAAAGAAAAGAAAAAGTATATTTTCTCGTTTTTATTTTTAGATCTATCTGTTGGTAATCATTATGATATTGGACAAAAAATTTCATTTCAATTACTTGAAAGTTACGAACAATTACGTCAATTTCCATTAGAAATTTTTCGAACTTCATTAACAATACTTCTTACTGCTCAATTAAGACTTGTACAAGAACGTATTCGAGATTTAATAGTCGAAGAAAAAAATGGTTTGTTGAATTTTGATTACGTTTCATACTCACGATGAAACTACTCTTAACTAACACCTATTGTTTATGCTCATATTGGATCTACAAGCAAATCTTAGGAAGACTAGCAAAAGACTAGAAGTGTTTGACCTCATGGATGGCTTACTAGATTTTCGACTTATTTTTCAGTAGTTCTCAGAAAATCATATCATAGAATTTTGATCTAAAATTTTACCTATAAATAGATACTTCATTTTTGTAATGTGTCTGTGGCAAGTGACTATTTTTGTTTTTGAAAATTCAATATCTTGACGAAGGAATATTCTAAGAATCATTATGTCTATATCAGAGATGTCCGTCATATTGGGATAGTTTCCTTATTGGAATATAGTGAAAATATTATTTATTCTTTCTTTTTATAAGGTTGTGCAATAGTATCTTTTCAATTATTTGAAATAGCAGCACAATTACCTAAAAATGAACAAGTTATAAATATTTTACGAAATTTAATTGATAAACAAGCTATAAATTTAATTGATCCAAATCGACGTATATTACATGCTATTTGTGGATCATTAGTTATTGGTATGAATTAAATAATTTTTATATTATAATTATTTAAAATTAATATTCTCTATTGAATTGAAATAATTTTTCTTATTATTATTCTATTAAAATAGGTCCAAAAGGTGAATCAATCGATGTTAAATTATTTTCACAAGCAAATGGTGATTATATAGGTGAATTTACACCAAAAAAAATTGGTAAATGAAAAAAAAACAACAAAGAATAATTTTAAATCATAAATCAATTTTCTTCATTAGGTCAATATCGTATTGATGTAACATGTGCTAATATACCTATACAAGATAGTCCATTTTTTACAGAAGTCTATGATCCATTACAAGTACATATTGGTCCATTACCAAAAAATATTCTTATTGGTATAGAAAATACATTGGAAATTAATTTAGATAATGCTGGAAATGTACCACTTGAAGTTATTATTACTTCACCATCGGGTATAAATGGTAAGAATAGAAATCTACAATTTTTTTAGTTTAAAATTAAATTTATTTGTTCTCTCTCTTTTTAATTAGTTCCTATCAAAATCGATGATATATTAACAATGAAAAAAGTACATTTTACACCAACTGAAACTGGTATACATTATTTAAATGTCAAATTTGGTTCAGATATTGTACCAGGTATAGCAAAAATTTCTTTCATAATTTTCATTATATTCTTTAATAAACAAAAAAAAAAAGGTACTCCAATTCAAATGATGGTTAATAATGCTCATATAATAAGTGCATATGGAGATGGTATTCATCATGCTGTACATGAAAAAGAAGCAACATTTATGATTGAAACAAAAGATATGCAAGGTGATTTACAAGTTGATATTGAAGGTAAAAATTAGATAAAACAACAGAAATATGTTCTAATTTATTCTTTTTTTCTTTTTTGTTTATATAAGGTGCTAATTCTGTAATTAAAACTACAATTGATCGAATCAATAATAGTTTATTAAAAGTAACTTATATACCTGTTGAAGTTGGTTTTATTAATATTAGTATAAAATGGAATGAAAAAGATATTATGAATAGTCCATTTACAGCGATTGTTACTAATCCAGGTAATATTTATTAATTGAAGATAGTTTATTTCTATATATAGAAAGTTTTCTCTTTATTTAAATCTACAGGAGATTTGTGGAAATTCTTGAATTCGATTTTTTTTTTGTTTGAGAAAGGCTTAGTTCTCACGATTTAGTCATAATTTATAAAATTCAGTTATTCTCTTGAAACAGGCCTTCGCGCGGACGAAAAAGCCGAAATGAATATAAGATCATCGTAGTTTTATCATGAGTTTACTACAAACGGGAAAAATCTCATATGGATATTTCGAGCCATTCCCAGTAAGTCTCGAAAGCGGACCATTCATTTACAAAGATTTTTTTTCTCACTAGACAGCTATTCCATATTTTTCGGCTTTTATAAAAAGTGATGACCAAAGGGGTGGGTAGCGTGGAGAAGTTTTCCCCTATCTCCCCTCAGGAATGAACCAAATCTCAGAAAAAGTTATATCAAAAAAGGATAAAATCGTCGGACCGGGTGGCCCGCCCGTTGGGTTGTTTCAGGTCTGATTTCATGAGTGCTACTCTAAAAAAAAAGCCAATTATAAGTTGATTCTGATAAGATCATGATCGAGATTGCTTTAGAACTGTTAAGGGTGTGTTCCTGGGGGTTATCAGGTGCGAATTAAAAAAATTTCATTAAGCATCAAGAGTACAATTCGGGACCGAGTCCGGGTCTAAAAAACGTTCAATAAACTAGATCCCAATACAAAATTTTTGGACTCATTCGGCTCGACAAAATATTTCGTTGGGCCAGGCTGGGCGACCCGTTTCGAGATCTGATTCCCAGCCGAATCGATATGTCTAGTGTTTGTCTGCTATCAGGTCCAAGATCAACACTCAGACATTCCAGTCCATTCAAATGGCTTAGAATGAGATTATTCTCCCTTGATAAACTACCTCTACCACTATTTTTGAATTAACAAATGCCAAAAAAGATATATTTATATTAAGAACATATTCGAATTGTTGGTGGTTGGCAATCAATACTTGATTCACAAAATCGTATGCATGTTATTACTAATGAAGAAAAAAAAATTTATTTTGATACATCTCATGCTGGACCAGGTGAAATTCTTTTTTTTTTCTTCCTCTATTGAATAAAACATATAATTTTCTTGTTTAGGTATTTTAAAAGCAAATATTCGAAGTGTAGAAAATACTTTCATACCATTATGTATTGATCAACAAGATTCATCAGCTATTCTTAGTTTTACTGTTTTACGAGATGGAAAATATGATTTAACACTTACATATGCTGATAATTTATTATCAAATATGCCTATTCGAATTATATCAACTTCGATATCTGTAGATCGTTTACAAGTAAAAGTACATGGTCGTGGTTCATATGAAGCACGTGTTAATGAAGAAGCAGAATTTACTATTGATACTTCACAAACTTCGAATCCTAGTATGAATAAACCAACTGTACGATTGATTGGTGCACAAACTGATGTCGAAGTTCAAATTCATCAAAATGAAAAAAATAGAAATATTTTTCATTGTTCTTATAAACCAATCCTATCGGGTATAATTATTAAAAAAATAAAAATTTTCACTATATTTATATATAATATTTTTAGGTGATTATTTATTGAGTATAATATGGTCAGAAAGAGAAATACATGGATCACCTTTTAGAGTTAATATTTTACCAAATATTAATAATAATAATAATAATCATGGAGCTTCACGAGTTATTTGTTCAGGTGATGATTTACGAATTGGAACAGTAGGACAAGAAATAAAATGTTTAATTGATACACGTGCTGCTCCATCAGGAGAATTAACAGCTTATTGTCAAGGAATTAATAAATCAGCATTTTGTCGACTTGTTGATCATCGAGATGGTACATGTACATTATTTATTAAACCAGAAGAAGCTGGAAGACATATATTAACTATTAAATATAATAGTGAAAATGTACCAGGTAGTCCGTATATAATTAAAGTAAACAATGCACTAGATGCTAGTAAGTATATTAAATCTAAGAGAATGAAAAAGAACGATTGTTTCATGATTAGGTAAAGTACGTGTTTCTGGTCCTGGCATTGAACATGGTGTTCTATCAACATTTCAATCACATTTTCTTTGTGAAACAAAAGGAGCAGGTAAGATTTCTTTAAGATTTAAAGTTTTTAAATTTATTAAATAAAAATATAATATAAAAAAGGTGCTGGACAATTAACTGTTAAAATTCGTGGTCCAAAAGGTGCTTTTCGTGTTGAAATGCAACGTCACCATTTACAAGATCGTACAATTATATGTCGATATAATCCAACTGAACCTGGAATTTATCTTATATCAGTTAAATGGAGTGATGAACATGTATATGGTTCACCATTTCATATACATATATTTGAATGTCAAGAGCAATTAGAACAATTTCGACATCAACACAATACTCATCGTTTAGTTGAACAAAAACACAACGAAAAACTTTAATAAAAACAAAATAGTTGTATAATTTTTCTTTATTATTTGAATGATGTGTTTTTTTTT